TCCGTGGGTTCTTATAGGATGCAGAGCACCGGGCGTAGAAACCACCCGGTGTGCATTGAGCAGGACGGGTATCGATCCCCTGGTGGTGGCATTATGTTGCTGGTTCACGCAGCAGACCTTTTTCGACGACTTTTTGCTCGCAATCAGCTTCGATGAAGAGATCCGTGAAAAATAGACCAGGGACCATCCAGTATGTGCGTGGTCCGTGGGTTCTTACAAGATGCAGAGCACCGGGCTTGGAAACCACCCGGTGTGCATTGAGCAGGACGGGTATCGATCCCCTGGTGGTGGCATTATGTTACTGGTTCACGCAGCAGACCTTTTTCGACGACTTTTTGCTCGCGATGAGCTCTGATGAAGAGATCCGTGAAAAAGAGACCAGGGACCATCCAGTATGTGCGTGGTTCGGGGGTCCTTACAAGATGCAGGCACCGGGCTTGGAAACCACAGGTTTGCAGTGGGAAGGACAGGAATCGATCCCTGGCTGGTGACATTTCTTGGCTGGTCCACCGTGACTCCACGTGGCAGACGTTTTTCGAATTCCTGCTCGCGATCAGCTCCGATGCGAGAAATGGACCCGGAAATGAAAAGGATTGTTTGTGGTGCGTCGGGTTTCCCCCCAGGCACTACGATACAAGTCTACCAGCATTGTTAGCAGAGACTGCCAGAGTGCAGCAAGCCAGACCCAGGTCCAGTCCTACTGTGCAGTAGTCTACAGGGGGGAAGCCCGATGAAGGGGGGGGGGGGGGTAGCACGGTGTGAACCTCATGCTGATCATCTGCCTGAAAAATCCCGGTAAACTGTGGAAAACGGCACAAAATCCGAGAAAATAGTCGGAATAGTGACATTTCCGTTGAAAATGCTCAGTCAGCTATTTTAGCTATTTTAGCTATTTTCAGCTATAGCTAGCTAGCTATAGCTAGCTATCAGCTAGCTATAGCTAAGTCTCACAATGCTATAATGGCAAAATCTAACAAAACACGGACTATAATGGCAATTGACTCCGTGGTGCGACCCCGTGCCCAACCAGCAGCACCCATGGCAGGGCCATGCCGTGCATGGCAGCGGCCGGGGGAAGGGGGTCCCTAAAAAAAACGAAAAAAAAGCAGAAACTATCTCTCTGTGCATTTTTTTAGCATTTTTGGGGTTCTCCCGGGGGTTTTCAAGGGTGTGTACTATAATGGGCAACTCTAAGGAAACATGTACTATCTTGATCAACTCTAAGGAAACATGTACTATAATGGGTAACTCTAAGAGGTATGTACTGGGCCAATTCCCATTCCAGCACCTTTTTGAACTTTTTGCCCATTCCAGCACTCTCGCAAACTTTTTGCCCATTCCAGCACCGTTTCCAAACTTTTTGCCCATTCCAGCACTATCGCAAACTTTTTGCCCATTCCAGCACCTTTTCCAAACTTTTTGCCCATTCCAGCACCTTTTCCAAGCTTTTTGCCCATTCCAGCACTATTTCCAAACTTTTTGCCCATTCCAGCACTATTTTCGAACTTTTTGCCCATTCCAGCACTTTATCCAAACTTTTTGCCCACTCCAGGCTGGAGCAGATCCAGCACTCGCAGTGACTCGTTTTGCCCATCATTGTGTGCCTATCACAGTACGTACATTCTGAAGTCGTTGCCGTCATGAATCCATGCCTTACTGGGTCACAGTGAGCGCACCGGACAGTCAGTCCGTTGCGGTGCGACTGATACACGGGTTTTCCTGCGGTAGCAGCATCTAATTTTACCGCAGCACAAGCAGCCTCCGTACAAGAAAACTCTGATCCCTCTTCTACTGTCATGGGATCGACTCTTTCCCCCAGAAATTGTTCCAAATCTGTGACACTTTTCGTGGAATGAGTGATATATAGCTAGAAATAGCTACATGTAGCTGGCCAAATAGCTAGCTAAGTGTCGCGGCATTTTTTCCCCCCTACCCCAGGGTTTTCACCAAATCTGTGACACTTTTCGTGGAATGAGTGATAAATAGCTAAAAAGAGCTACATGTAGCTGGCCAAATAGCTAGCTAAGTCTCGCACTGTCTTTTCGGCATTTTTGCCCCCCTACCCCAGGGTTTTCACCAAAAAAACTTTTCGAAATCTCAGCCATTCTGAGCCATCGAGCCACCAGTGGCTGCCACTGGCTGCAGTGGCTGTCCCCCACACTGCGTGACACGTTTGTCAAGTTGTCAGTGACTGTTGTGAAACCTTTGTAGGCTATTACGAGCCACTGCGCAAGCGTACTAAGTAGCGTGATGAACCCGGTTTTGTCATCAGTGGTCGGCGGGTCGCGAAGGGCGACGCCCAGTGCTGTGGCGTCGCCATCTCGAGATCTACTGCTGCGGCCTGCCGGTCGTAGAAGATTCCGCAAAATCAGTGGAGAAGTAGACTCCTACTGTAGAGTGATTTTGGAACGACCCGTAGTGTAGGTGGCGCACGTCGGCGGAGCGTTTGTAGGTGGACGAAATCGGCTCGTGCAGCTTGGCTACGTGTTGTCCGGACTGTCTCCGTCTTGGCCGCATGACAAGGCGACTTCTGTAGAAGAAAGAAGAGAAGAAAAAGGCCGCTCCTGGTCCAGGAACGTGACGGTCAACCACAGCTTGCAAAGCTTGAGTCGGAGGCAGCACAGTGCCACAACCCCGTCCGCTCTGCCCTGCGGCTGACCGTCTCGACGAGCTTGCGTTCAGCCGCGAATCAGCGCGAGCGCCAAGAGGTGCGCCAAGCCTTGATGCTTTAGTCTGGGAAATCGGGAGCCACTTGACCCGTAGGCCCGTGGCTGCAGTACCGCCGAACACGTGAAGCTTGGCTCCCGTGTATTTAGCCCCCCCCTGCAGATGGTAAAACCCGAAGGTATGGAAATTGCAGTGTTGATTTTGCCATAATATTGGTAAAGGGTGGTAATACTAATAGTGCTTGAATGGGCAAAAAGTTTGGAAATAGTGCTGGAATGGGCAAAAAGTTTGGGCAGAGTGCTGGAATGGGCAAAAAGTTTGGGCAGAGTGCTGGAATGGGCAAAAAGTTTGTGATAGTGCTGGAGTGGGCAAAAAGTTTGGAAATAGTGCTGGAATGGGCAAAAAGTTTGAGTACGTGCGCTCGGCTAAGGCCGGCGCGTGGCGAGACTGGAGGCAGCAGTTAAAGTTCGGGGAACAGCAAAGTTCGGGCGAAGCGAAGTTCGGGCAATGCTAAGTTCTGGTGAAGCAAAGTTCGGGTGAAGCTAAGTTCGGGCGAAACAAAGTTCGGGCGAAACAAAGTCCGGGCGAAGCTAAGTTCTGGGTGAAGCAAAGTTCGGACGTTCTGGTGAAGCTAAGATCGGGCGAAAAAGTTCGGCGAAGCTAAGTTCGGGTGAAGCAAAGTTCGGGCGAAGCTAAGTTCTGGTGAAGCAAAGTTCGGGCGAAGCAAAGTTCGGGTCAAGCTAAGTTCGGGCGAAACAAAGTGCGGGCGAAGCTAAGTTCTGGGGGAAGCAAAGTTCGGATGAAGCAAAGTTCTGGTGAAGCAAAGTTCTGGTGAAGCAAAGTTCGGGCGAAGCAAAGTTCGGGTCAAGCTAAGTTCGGGCGAAACAAAGTCCGGGCGAAGCTAAGTTCTGGGGGAAGCAAAGTTCGGGTGAAGCAAAGTTCTGGTGAAGCAAAGTTCGGGCGAAGCAAAGTTCGGGCGAAGCTAAGTTCGGGCGAAGCAAAGTTCGGGTCAAGCTAAGTTCGGGCGAAACAAAGTCCGGGCGAAGCTAAGTTCTGGGGGAAGCAAAGTTCGGGTGAAGCAAAGTTCTGGTGAAGCTAAGATCGGGCGAAACAAAGTTCGGGCGAAGCTAAGTTCGGGTGAAGCTAAGTTCGGGTGAAGCAAAGTTCTGGTGAAGCAAAGTTCGGGCGAAGTTCGGGTGAAGCAAAGTTCTGGTGAACATTGCATGTTCATAGGACCTCCAGTCTCGAAAAATTCTCAAAAATTTCAAACCGAAAAAACACTTCGCGCGGGGATCGAACCGCGGACCTGGGGGTCCGGAGACCGTCGCACTGTTGAAGTGGACCATACAAGCATGAAATCCGAAAAACGGAAAAAGCCAGCTCCGCGCTATTATCTAGTTCAAAAACAATACATTTTTAAAAGTGGGGTTGGCTCGAATAGAGGCTATTCACATTGCATGTTCATAGGACCTCCAGTCTCGAAAAATGGTGCTGGAATGGTAATTGGCCCGTATGTACTATAATGGGTAACTCTAAGAAAGTGTGTACTATAATGGGAAATGACCCAGTCCAAACACAGGTGGGGACACGAGAACAACACGATACATCATCGAAAAACGTATGTATAATTGTGTTGTGTTGGTGTCCAGAAAACGCTGTTTTCTGGACCAGTTCCACGGGGCCACAATAAAAAAGATTCTAGCCACAATAGCCACAATACTTTGTGGGTAAATGTTGTGGCTATTCTGCCCACATTGTGGGAAAGTTGTGGGTGCACAGTGCTGGTCTGCTCTGCAGTGGCGTGGTTGTCGTGCGGGCTTGTGTCCTTGCTGGAATCCTTTCTTCTGTCTTCTGTATTTCTCTCAGTGTGTACCTTCGCGTGTGTTCGGTGCGTGAAAAGAAGAAAGAGCAGTAAGTGTGGTACTGTGAGCGCGAAGTGATCATGCAAACCGTGTATAGCCGCAACTCGTCTTTCTGCTCTGCAGTGGCGTGGTTGCCGTGCGGGTTTGTGTCCTTGCTGGAGTCCTTTCTTCTGTCTTCTCTCCTTTCGCCCGTTGTGTTCGGCTCGCTTGCGGGGGGTGTCGCTACTCACCCGCCGTTGACATGGCTGCTGCAGGGAGTAGGGGAGGGCGGGCAAAGTAAAAAGCTCACTGAACCCCCCCGCCACAATGTGAGACTGTAAAAACAAAGAACGAAACCGAACACGAAAACAACCAACGCGCCAAGGATGGCGACGGGGAGGCACAAGGAACCACCTCACCTGTTCTCAAGAACTAACCCGAGGCAGGTATCCACCGTACCGATAACCGATAACCGATAACCTGCATTTCATCTCCTCGGTAGTATAGAGGTCAGTATACCCGCCTGTCACGCGGGTGACCCGGGTTCAATTCCCGGCCGGGGAATTTTTGCGAAATTTATGATTCTAATTCATCTATTCATCTGATGAAGCAAAGTTCGCGAACGTTCGGGTGAAGCGAAGCAAAGTTCGGGTAAAGCAAAGTTCGGGCGGAACAAGTTCGGGCGAAGCTAAGTTCGGACCACGCGCCGGCCTTAGCCGAGCGCACGTACTTCCAGTCTCCCTCCATTGCCCTATTGCTTTGCCCGCCAGATAGCTTCACGACTTGAACTTGGGCTTGAACTTGTTTCGCCCGAACTTTGCTTCACCCGAACTTTGCTTCATCAGATGAATTAAATTTCGCAAAAATTCCCCGGCCGGGAATTGAACCCGGGTCACCCGCGTGACAGGCGGGTATACTGACCTCTATACTACCGAGGAGATGAAAAAAAAATAAAGTGCCCAACCCAAGAACGTCACACTTGCCTGTGCAGACCCTCACCTGACCATCAGTGATGGCATAATGAACAAACCCCCACCTAAGAACTAGAACTGAAGTCAAGCCCGTACTTGTGAAGCCCCAGCCAACTTAGACTAGATGTGCAGAAAACAACCCCGCCCGCACTCCTCTCCCTCCCACAGTACACCAGTACTGCTAGAAGGAATTACCCTTCAGTTAGGCCAGTCTCCGGTTTTCTCGTTCATTCGTCTAGATTGGTTTCCCACCTGGTCGCCGGCTTTCCAGCTGAGGCTCCGTTAGTTCGTTGCTTCAGTACCAAGCTTGGTCCCGAATTAAAAAAAAAAAAAAATTTTTTTTTTTTTTTGTGCTCGCCTGTTGTAGGTCCCCTCCTTCCCACCGGCATCCGCTTTACAGGGCGGTGTTCTCTGAGCTTGTTGGACTAGGAGTTGCTTCCGGGAGTCCATCCCCAGACGCCTAGCTTTGGTACCGTGTAAAAAATCAATTTCAATTTCAATTTCAAAAATTTGGAAACCGCACCCGGGTTAGGCTTGGGGATACGGTGCTAAGGTTCCTTGTGCCTCCTCTTCGGGCCAAAACCCATTACAGTATGTTATCCAAACTTTGAACGAATTACAGTATGGTCCGAACTTTGAACCCATTACGGTATGTCAATCCAAACTTTGAACCCATTACGGTATGGATTTTCAAACTTTGAACGAATTACGGTAGGTTCCAAACTTTGAAACCCATTACGGTATGGTCCCAAACTTTGAACCCATTACGGTATGGTTTTCAAACTTTGAACCCATTACGGTATGGTTTTCAAACTTTGAACCCATTACGGTGAGGTTCCAAATTTGAACCAATTCCGGCATGATTTCTAAACTTTGACTCTCAAGTTTGAGCATTTCGGTGTCACTGTCAGGTTATAAGCCCAACACCAACGAGATACGTAGAAGCGGACGTGGAGAGAGATCATAGATGTGAAGTTGGCGTCGATGGATCCAGTTTGTGTCTTTTGGCACATGCTCGAGGTTGGCTGCTTGCTTTGGACCTCTCGATTTCTGAAGGACCTCGCACAGATGCATCCCCAGGGGAAGTGCTCGGGTTTGAAGAAGAGTCGGTGCATGGCAACCACCATTGCGGCGCACTCGCCCCCGATCCGCCCACCCCGGGGTCCGGTCCAATGCCTTCCTTCCCTGTCCAGCAGGTCGGACGGCGGTCCGGGCCCTCCGTCACTCGTCATCAGACTTCATGGGAGGAGGTCCCGACGAGTCCACTTCCGATTCGGCTTGTCCGATTCACGCTCGAGTCGACCCTGTGGCTGAAACGCCGCTGCTACTTCCGGATCCAGTGACGGCCTGCCGCTCGCGGAGTCAGAGTCGCGGACTCAGACCGACTGCGAAGTATCAAATGCTGCTCGAAAACTGCTCCCTCTGTACGGGGGCAGAATCCCACGGTTGATTAGCATGGAAAAACAGTTGTGTTCGAAGACCACGTTCTGCCGCGAACCTGCATTTTGAGCTTGACGCTTTGAATACAACGGGCGCTCGTTGTATTTAGCCCCCCCCCTGTAATGGGCCGTCGGTGGTTATTCCTCTCCTACGCTGTCGGTAGGGATCCTGCTTTCGCAACAGGGAGAAGAGTACTCCACTGAGCTTCCGAGGTCGCCGTACTACAGTAGGGGCAGTGCCTGCCAACTTTCACTGCTGATCATGAAGTTTACCCTTCCTCCTCCTCATCTCTCTCTTTTTGCCTTCCTGTTGACGCAAGTGATGGACAGAATCATCTGCGAATGGCGCGAACGTTCCAAAGCTTCCCAAAATGCGTCCACAATGATCAGGTTTACCTTTCGTTTCTGATTGTGAACTTTGTTCTTAAATTTGTCGCAACGGTGCGGCTAAGTGGCAAGCAGCTCGATGAGCATGACTCTTCTTCCGGTCCAATCACAATCCGGACGTGGCCGTAGGTTTCAGTGCCTGCTGATCACGAGGTTTACTACAGCTGTAGCAACAGCACACAGCCGCTCGGCCAGCATGAGCCGTAGTGACGGTAGTCTAACGCCGCATCTTTGCGTTGAACGTGGATTTCGGAGGTCGCCGAATTGGAGATGAAAGTGAATCTGTTGCTACTGCGGTGCAGAAGGATGATGACTTAGGATCGGCCTACTGAAGACATGGTAGCTGCAACCATCACCCGTCCGCCTTAGAGTCTGACTGATCGACCACTGACGTGGCACTGTAGAGTCACCACAGAAGATGAATTTGTCGCCCAATTACACTGCGTTGTTAACAACTTGCAGACCTCGACTGACAACGGTACCGAAATTGGGCTCAAATTTTACACTTACCGGAATTCGTTCAAAGTTTGAAAACCATACCGTAATGGGTTCAAAGTTTGAAAACCATACCGTAATGGGTTTCAAAGTTTGGAACCTACCGTAATTCGTTCAAAGTTTGGAAAACCATACCGTAATGGGTTCAAAGTTTGGCACCATACCGTAATGGGTTCAAAGTTTGGATCATGTACCGTAATGGGTTCAAAGTTTGGATAACATACTGTAATGGGTTTTGGCCCCTCCTCTTCATCCTTGGGGCGTTTGTTTGTTTTCTGTTTTCTTTGGTTCGTTCTTGGTATGGTTGTGGGGGGGTTCAGTGGGATTGTTTCTTGCCCGCCCTCCCCTTGTTTCTTGCCGCTGTTTTGGTAATGATGTCCTGGCGTGCCAGGCTTTACCAGTCGCGGTCGGTGTGTTTCCGGCGATTGTCGCGCTGTCAGTTGCCTGTGATAGTAATTTGTCAAGGGTTTGCTTTGGTTCGCTGCTGATATGCTGCTTGGCTCTGCGTGTTGTGTGCAGTGATGGTTGTTTTGCCTTGGTTTTGTTGTGGCTTCGTCCTTCGCTCGCCCTCCCTTTCCGGTGCGGTGTTCTGACGTCTTTTGGTAACCCTGGCGTGCCAGGTTTGCCTGTTGAGTCGGTCTTCCGTGTCGGTCGGGGGGGGTTTGCTTTCGCTTCGGGACTTTCCTGTTGTTGTCGGGCGCGTGGCGCTGTTTCGCTGCCGCTGCCCGTCCTGCTGCCTTCGCTCTTGTGGGTTGTTGTTGAGCGTGGTGCGTGTAGCACTGAAACGGGGGGTTAATACGTTGTCTGTTGTTTTGGCAGGACTCGGCTTCTCTTGCGTGCTTGGGGGGGGGGCGTTGTTATTGGTTCTGGTTTTGTGGGACAAGGTAAGGGAAAGGTATTTCTTTTTCGGCAGTTGGTGGGGGGTATTTTTTGGACTTGTTGTGCGGCTCTCCCTTCCGGGCGGTGTTCTGACTTCTGTTGGTAAACCCTGGCGTGCCAGGGTTTGCCTGTTGAGTCGGTCCTCCGCTTCGGTCGGGGGGGGCTGGTTTGGTTGCTGCTTGTCTCTGTTTCGCTTTGCGGCGCTGTTGCGTGGTGCGGTCCGTTGGGCGCTTCGCCTGCCTCTACTTTGTTCTTCCTTCCGGGGCCTTTGAGCTTGCTGCTTGTCTCTGTTTCGCTTTGCGGCGCTGTTGCGTGGTGCGGTCCGTTGGCCTGGTCGCTTCCGGCAAGCCGGCAGCGTCAGAAACACCGGGCTGGTGTTTCCGACGCTGTTCTATCCCGTGCTCATTGTCCGCTCTCGGCCCGGAGGGTTGTCTTTTTTTTGTTTTGGTTGCTAATGCACTGTTCTTGTGTTGCAGCTACCTGTCTGCCTCAGTGACCGCTCCAGTGCTCACTCTGCGTGGTGCGGTCCGTTGGCCAGGTCGTCTCCGGCAGTCGGAAACACCGGGCTGGTGTTTCTGACGCTGTTCTATCCCGTGCTCATTGTCCGCTCTCGGCCCGGAGGGTTGTCTTTTTTTGTTTTGGTTGCTAATGCACTGTTCTTGTGTTGCAGCTACCTATCTGCCTCAGTGACCGCTCCAGTGCTCACTCCACCCTTTTGGACCTTCCTATGGTCAGGTGGGTGTGCTGTCGGTGCACCGAGTCTACCCTTCGTTGGTAGTCGTGTTCGGTCGCGGCGCTGTTGCGCTGCTGCGGTGGTACTTTTGTTTGCCTTCTTTTTTCCCCTCTCTTTTCTTATTGTTCTCAGGTGCTGTTCGGTCCGGTGACCGGCTGCGTCCGTGTCGGCGTGCGGGTTTCGGCTGTTCGTCGGCGCCTGCGTCTCCGTTGTCGTGCTGCCGGTTTACTGCTGCCGCCTTGCGGCGGTTGGTCGGTGGCCGTGGGGACTGTGTAGTGCCGGGTGTGTGCGTCTGGTGTTGGACTGCGCCGTCAGCGTACTGATTCGCGCTTCGCACTCAGCAGCCCTGTTGCGCCTGCACCGGCGGTCGGGTGAGGTTGCTTTGCACGGATGTGCCGGGTGTGTTGCCGCCTCAGTCTTCCGACCCGGCCCGAACTATGCCCATCCTTCGGCATCCTCGGAGCTTGATCCCTCGAGGTCGAAGGTGCTGTCGAAAAACCTGAAGGCCGTCTCAACTAAAGTTGCGTCTGCTCATGCACGGACACTAAGGACGATGTACTTGACGTACGTGCTGCCGGTCCTGCTGTATGGGTTTGGGGTCTTTGGCCCTGGCTTGCATTACAGCGATTTTCATGCTCTGGAGATGGATCATCACCGCGC